CAACATGGCTTGCAGTGATTACTTTCAGCAGTGTTCCAGAATGAGAGCAAGAAAGTGCCTTAAGGTTTATCTGGGGAGGGAGGGAGGGAATACCTTTGAGATTAGCAAAAATATTTTATTAAAGTGATTTCATAAACATATTTTTTGTAAAATAGAAACACTAAATACATCAGTGTAAGGGTATTTTATGTTTATTTCAGAAGTATCTGTTCATTAAATTATGATATAATTATAAGATTTAACATAATTGTAGAATACTATGCATAGAATACCAGAAATACACCAGGGATTTATAGAGTGATCTTGTTGTAGAATCCATTCAGCCTCTGAAAATATAACACCTAATTTTTCCTAAATACTAGGAAATTCTTCCCAGTGTAATGCAACACCAGGCTCCCTGAATTCTGTTAGTTTTCATATTAATTAAAGTTCTTTCCAGTTGCAAATGTGATTCTTTATATTTTGGGTTATTTATAGTTTGATCCAAACAGTTCTTGAATTATTTTGCCATGTTAGTATCCTTGGAGGAAAATATTTTAAGCTGAATAGAATATAAATGTACATGCATAAATACACACTTTATGATGGAAGACCATTAAAATCACTGTATGAAGATTTAGCCCATTGGTTCCAGTAGGACTTTGGTGCCACCTTTGACTACAAACATTTATGTGTGCATGCACATGTGTAAGGTCAATTGTAAAAAACAGGCTTTATGGCCAAATTCTGTTTTGTTACATCATAGTAAGAATTTTGTTTCTGAGCATTTACGGAGTGCAGCATCACCTAATAGTCCATTAATGAAAGCAGGAAATCTGAAAAATATTATGAATATTATAAATAATTCAGATTAGTTGAAGAAAGCAGTATTCCATCATCTTTCAAAAAGAAAGAACAGAGATTTTCACATTTTGCAGTGGGAAAATGTAGAATTATTGCAGAACCTCAAGTATAAATAGCATGATCTGAATGTAGGGACAGAATTGGCAGTGTGCGTGTAGTAGCCAACTGGTGCCTGAGCATTGATCTCTGCTACTGTCAGCCCTCTCACTTCTTAAAAAAATAACATATATCTTTGTAAGTGCATGCAGACATGAGTTTTGA